ACACACTAATTTATACAATTTTTTAATACATATTTTTCTATAAATAGTTAAAAAGTTAACTCAAACAATCATATTTTTTTTCCTTAACTTTTTAGTCTAAAAAATCAAAAAGACTAGAAAAAATGTACATGAATAATGCTTGGGACCCCCTTTTGGGGGTCACCCCCTCACCCCTTTTGCCATGTGGCAGGGGGTGATTGGAGGAGCAGGAAAAAAAAGAAAAAGAAAAAGAAAAGGTAACCAATGAGAGAGAGAGAGGGTCAAAGGGGGTGGGGGAAAAGGGGGATGAATCATTACTCTAATGTACATATAAGCAGGAGCGACTCTAGGTGTTATATTAGGTGTTCAATTAAACACCTTGCATGTTTTTTATTTATTATATATATATAACTTAACAATGTCTGATACCCTCTCCCAAGAAGCTCTCTCTCTCAACAACGGTAACAATGACCGATCCATCGAGGAGGAGGATCATCTGGTGCACAGCACCAAAAACGTCAAGAGCTCTACAATTGCGGAAGGAGATCAGTAGATGGAGGAGGTATTGGCGCCACCTGAAGCAAAGCAAGTAAACCAAGAGATAGAAGTGAGTTTGACGACCTCTGAGGCGATTCAAAGGAAATCCTTTAAGCAAGCACTCACAGCAACCAAGAACAATGAAAAAGCCTTTGACAATGATTTGGACCGACTCTCCACTGATGACGAATTCCTCTTCGATGACGAGGAGAATGCGACAATATTAGAGGATGAATAAGAGCACGCTCTAGATTCCAGGATACCCAAGATCAAACTCCCCCCACGTCTAGTGAAATCGATCCGTAGGCCATAGAAGGACTGTCTCATAATCCGGCTACTGGGGAAAATGGTGGGATTCAAATTTCTGGTCAATAAATTAAAGAAAATTTGGGGATTACAAGGAGACTTTGAGGCCACAGATTTGGGTCTTGGATTTTTCTTAGTAAAGTTTGAAATGCTTGCTGACTGCAATAGAGTTTACACGGAAGGCCCTTGGATAATCATGGACCATACCTAACTGTTAGAAGATGAGAACATGACTTCAAGGCATCGGAAGCTAAAGAGGTTGCAACAGCCTTGTGGGTTAGATTCCCACAACTCCCAATTGAATACTACATTGAAAAGGTGCTATTCCATATCGCCAAGGTAATAGGTAGACCACTAAAAGTGGATCTCAACACAGCAATGTCTACAAGAGGTAGATATACTAGGGTGTGCGTTGAAGTTAATCTCACGAAGCTGTTTGTCTCTAGATTTGCCATAGGAAAATATACATATATAATAGAATATGAGCATCTACACTATTTTTGTTTTGCTTGTGGAAAGGTTGGCCACCGGAAAGAATATTGCAGCATCAAGCCAGTACAGCTATCGTCACCAACACCGGCACCGGCGTGTCTAGGTGGAGAAAGGATCAGTACAACAGAGAGAGTTGAGCAGTCCATAACGGCTACTTCCTCTAGCCCAAAAACAGATCTTGCAATTGGAGATGAGTCTCAATTTGACCCATGGATGCTTGTTAACAGAAGAAATCGGAAGCCCATGACTGCTAACCGTCAGTCAGGGCCTACAATGCACAAAAAACCCAATAACAGATTTGGCCCCCTTACTAATAAGCACACCACAGATGGTACCACTGATGATACTATAGTCAAAGGGGTCCAAGTGTCTCAGCCCACGAATCCCTCAAAAGCAACATCCAGTGCCACACATCTACATAGCAACCTGGTGCTTGCAGTCCATACGTCAAAGGCTAATCCTACTGCTATTAGTCATCCCTCTTCCAGCTCCGATATGATAACTCAGGTGCAGGACTGTCAGGTGCAGTGTTCCACTACTTCAAAGATTAGACCCGAGATGATCTCGGCGATGGAGTCAGAGAATCTGAGGAATGAGCTGGCCCCCATTAACCCACCATTTTCTTGCACTTCCCCCTTCTCATCACCACACTCATCTGTACATCCAGTAGTTAACACTCTAGACACTCATCCTCCTGCTAACCCCAAGCTTCAAAAAAAGCCCCCTAACCTTAAACATGAGTGACAATATCACCAACGCAGACATAGAGAGGCTGGAAGTGCAGCTGTCCACGATGACACACAGTGCGGTGGGGTCATACCTCGAACCTGCAAGCGAAGCAATTCACCAAGTAAGCATCGTCTGGTGGATAGACGAAATCAGACTGAGTCTAGAGCCCAGATGGCGGAGCGCAACAGGGAAACCACTACAGGCAACGCAGATGGCAGCTCTGAGGTCAGTTGTATTAAGCCAAAAACTAGTGCGTGACATGATTGGTTTGAGTCCCTCAGATCCGCTACCAGACTTTCCTAACCGTCCATCAATGAATATCATGCTATGGAACTGCCGGGGAGCCGGCAACAAAATCTTTAGAAGAACCTTCAGAGACATTACTAGAACTCATAGGCTTGATGTAGTGGCCCTCTTTGAAACCAAGGTCCTATTCAGCTCTATGGGTTTGTTTTTTTAATAACCTAAGCTATACTGCCTTTACCATTGTGGACCCTGTGCGAAGGGTTGGTGGGATTTGGCTTCTTTGGAACCCTACACAAGTCTCAGTCAGGGCCTATGTTGCTAACCATCAGGTGATTCAAGCCACAGTTAAAAGGAGAGATCATAAGGACTAGGTTCTGGCCGCAGTCTATGTTAGCCCCAACATCAGGCTTCATCACGATCTATGGTATGATCTGGAGGACATAACCAACTCTATGACCAAGCCATGGCTGATTGCTGGGGACTTTAACGATATAAGTAGGTACAATGAAAGACGGAGTTTCTCTCAGAGCTACCATCCGGGCCAAAGCTGCAGATTCTTGGGCCAAATCAATCACTGTGGACTCATGGATCTTGGATGCACGGGACCTAGATTCACTTGGACTAACAATAGGAAGGGACTAGCAAACACTATGGAGAGACTCGACCGTGCGCTCTGCAATACTGAATAACGCACTCTCTTTCCTGAAATCACTGTGTGCAATCTCCCTCGGACTTACTCTGACCACTCTTCTCTCATTGTTAACACGAAGGGTATATCTAAACTCTCCCCCTGTAATCGTCCTTTTCATTTTGAGGCTGCTTGGCTCTCTCATCCCCAGTACAAAGATGTTGTCTATTCCTCTTGGAATCATGAGCTATCTTTGAATAAGAACTTTCAGCAGGTTGCTGATAAGTCCCTTACCTGGAATAAGAAAATCTTCGAAAATATTTTTAAAAGGAAAAGGTGTCTTCTTTCACGTATTGAGGGAATTCAAAGATCTCTTGCGAATCATTTCTCTCATAATCTGTTTTTACTTGAAAAGATCTGATTTGTCAATATAATAAAACTCTTTTGCAAGAGGAAATCCTTTGGTTTCAAAAAATCTCGTGTCAATTGGATCACTCAAGGTGAAAGAAACACTAGATATTTCCATGTGTCTACTATTTCTAAAAGAAAGCATTTGAAAATTGATTGTTTGCGTTCTGAAACTGGGGATTGGATCATGGAAGCCCAACCTGTCAAAACTCATATTCAAGATTACTTTACAAACATGTTCCAAGCTGAACCGGTGGCCAATCTTAGTCACTGGTGTAATATAGCTTCCCATACAATTTCTGTTGATGAGAATCGTAGGATCTCCCAGGGGATCACTAACCATGAGATTTGGGAAGCCATCAAAAGCATTAATGCTTTCAAAGCTTCTGGACGGGATGGTTTTTAGGTTATCTTTAACCATAAATTTTGGGACATCATTGGTGAGGATGTTTGTACCTTCATTAAGAATTGCTATAGTAAGAAACTTGTCCCTTCGGAAATCAATAGAACTCTTATTGTCCTTATTCCCAAGATTGATAACCCGGAAAATATCAAATAGTTTCGGCCCATCAGCCTTTGCAATGTGTCCTATAAAATTATTACGAAAATCCTTGTTAACAGAATTAGACATCTTCTCTATAGCCTTATCAGTCCCACCCAAAGCAGCTTTATCTCCGGTCGTTCTACTCATGATAATATCATTATAACCTAGGAACTTATATACACCCTTCACTATAGGAAAGGCAGACATGGGGGTCTTATCATTTCATTAGACCTTGAAAAGGCCTACGATAAGATCTCTTGGGATTTCTTGAGAGATACTCTATATGAATTTAAGCTTAGCACCCACTAGATTGAACTTGTTATATCATGTGTCTCTTTTGTGAGTTTTTCTCTGTTATGGAATAGTGAAACCATGAATGATTTCACTCCTGGCATAGGTTTGAGACAGGGAGACCCCCTATCTCCATACTTATTTGTGCTCTGCATGGAAAGACTATCCAATATGATCAGGTGCCAAGTTGAGAAAAAGGAGTGGAAGGGCCTCAAAGTTGCTAGAAAGGGTCCATCTATATCCCACATGTTCTATGCGAATGATCTGCTCCTTTTTGCTTAAGCTGATCAACAAAACTGTGAGACCATCATGAACACAATCAACGAATTCTGCCTCATCTCTGGCTAGCAAATCAGCCTCCAAAAATATAAAATGTTAATCTCTCCTAATGTGGCTAGCAGAAAAGCAAAAGCATTGAGTCAGTTTTGTGGATAGCTCTTACCCACAACTTGGGCAAGTATCTTGGAGTGCCCCTCATTCACAGTAGAGTCCAGAAAGACATTTACAATAACATCTTGGAGAAAATTCAACAAAAGCTATCCTCCTGGAAAGCTAATACTCTCTCCCTAGTTGGTAGAACTACCATCATTCAGTCTGTAACTTCATCCATACCCTCTTACATCATGCAAACCAGCAAGCTGCCATAGAATGTGTGCAAACATATCAACCAGATCAATAGAAATTTTCCATGGGGAGACCAACATAGCAAGAGGAAAGTTCATCTTGTTAATTGGAGACAAGTTTGTAAGAACAAACAAGAGGGAGGCCTTGGCCTCAAAAGAGCTGAAGACCAGAACTTAGCTCTCTTAACCAAGCTTGGATGGAAGCTTCTTAGTGATAAGACTTCCACTTGGATTGTTGTGCTTAAAGGAAAATACCTTCAAAAAGAACCTTTGATGGATTGGCCTACTAATCATCTGGCCTCTCACATCTGGAAGAGTATTATCAAAACCAGAGATATTCTCAGAAAAGGTGTCAAGTGAACTGTAGGTAATGGCCAGAACATCTCCTTCTGGAGCGACTGGTGGTGTGGTGACAGCACCATTGTATCCCAATGCCCTGGTGAGCATACCTCAAATTGTTTGAAAGTAGTTGATGTGATCAATACTGAGGGGACTTGGCATCTTGAGGCAGTTTTAGAATTTCTTTCCCCATCCATTATGCAGAGCATGTCTTAAATCCACTTGCCTCATTTTGTGGAAATCCCAAACAATCCCCACTGGAAAGGAGCACCAACTGGTAACTTCACAGTTAGTGCAGCCTATGATCTCTTAACAAATATGGACCATCAAAGTAACAAAGTCAGCTCTGGAAAAAAAAATCCCACAAAAACTAAAATCTTTCTGCTGGTTGCTATTCCATGAGCGTTTATTAACCAATCATCATAGAAGTCTTAGAGACTTGACCATGGATGACAAATGCCCCAGGTGAAACTCAGCTCGAGAAGACATAAGCCATATGTTTAGAGAATGCCCTAAAGCTAAAGCCATTTGGCTAGCCATAAGAAGCCACAAATGGCTTTAACTCAGTGAAAATCAATCTTGGGAGCAGTGGCTTCAGGTTAACCTACACAGCAAGGAGAATAAGATCTTCCATATTCTTTGGGGAATTGTGTTTGTATTCACTGTCTGGAAAAGATGGACAGATAGGAACAATTTTGTTTTCAAACAAGAGGAAGACAGTGTGCACCAAGCCATCAGATACATCCAGCAACAAACAGCTGCAACTTTTGAGGCATTCCAATTTGACCACTTTACTGGACTACTTCTGGAACAAAAAACTAACTGGGTTTTACCTTTTGCAAGTAGAATTAAACTCAATAATGATGGATGCTCCAAAGGAAATCTCGGACCGGCTGGTTATGGAGGGCCCTTCCGAGATGAGAGAGGAGCATGGGTGCATGGTTACCATGGGAGACTTGATGAAGCAACTAGTCTGGAAGCTGAGCTTTAGGGAATATATAGAGGCCTAACCATCATTCTAGAGAAATGAATGAGACATATACTAATTGAGACAGATTTTATTCATGTTGTTCAACTGATTCAGGAAGAATCTGGTCAAACTTTCAGTACAAGCCCCTTCTTGAGGAGACCAAGTTCCTGATGCAGAGATGCAGTTGTACCATTCAACACATCCTCATAGAAGGCAACCAAAGTGTAGATGGTTTAGCAAAGCTAGGGGTTAATCACCCAGAACCTTTTGTATTTCTTAATGACCCTCCTTTGCAGACATTCTAGGGTCATCTTCTGTTTAAAAGGCTTTATGCCGTAGCTCTATGTTCTGCTATTTTCCTTTTGAATCGAATATATATATATACATATAATTTGGCCTAAAATTTTTTGTTGAACATCTTAGCTTACTTTTCTAAACACCCAATCCAGTTGAACACTACCTAACCACTTTCTTCAACACCCAACCCAACTTAGCCCATAACCCTTTAATTAATATATATTTAGGGTTACAAATGAACAGAGCCGTTTGTGAATAGGTTTGAACTTAGCTTGATAATGGCTCGTTTGAACTCGGTTTGTTATTTTTTTATTTTTTATCTTTTTTTTTTATTTGCGTTTGAGTTCAAGCTCGTTAAAATCTTAATAAACAAGTTCAAACATACTAAAGTTCGACAAGTTGGTTAGTTCATTTAACATTTATTATTTATATATTAAATAATATAAAAATATGTATAAAAAATAAGATAGTTATGTTATTTATATATTAAAAAATGTAAATATAAATAATAGCTAACTATAAATAGTATATTTATATAATATTGGTGGTAGATATTATTATTTTAATAAAATATTGATTTTTGTTTTGGTATATTTATATATACAATTGTATAATTAAAGTTTTAGTCGTAATTTTAGTCTCATATGTAAATGTGAATTTATAATTTTT